CCCCCCCCCCCTAGACACACTCTCTTACACGAGTATTCCTCATTAATGATGCACCACGGAAACGATGTGATTACGGGGGTCGCGGATTCGGCAATTGAATGCGGAACGTATGGAAATCGCCCTCATTAAGAGATTCCCACAGTCGATCCCCTACCCTCACGAAAACCCGCACGAGAAACACTCGGCGTTTCTCACAGTCTCATCATCAGTGGCAATAAAAATGAGCGCTCCTTGAACCCACGTCGCGTGCGAGGCTGCGCCGGGCTGCGCGCGTCACCCCTTCAGCTTTCGGCCGTTATAGCGCTCGATTACTGTGAGAGATCTCGGAAGCACCCCCTTTAATCTCCTCGCCCGCTCCATGAAAACAAAAACGCCTCTCACCAGCAGAGCTCCATGATGCGCTCCTCGTGCCTGGAGCTGTTCCTCGCCATCTCCTCTTGGACGAGGCCGATAAATCGGCCGGCGCAGTGGTCCCAGCCTTCATTTACAGACGACTTGAGGAAGCAGGAGGAGTATTTGAGATACTCTGGGGGAAAAACAGAAGCGTGTGTTAAAGCCATGCACTGGCATGACATGGTAGTCCTTTCCCTTTGAAAAAAAGGAAGACATCGTTTTTACCATGAAGCTGTACAAAGGTGCCTTCCTGTTATGTGTCAACAAATAAATCAGTCGTGGAAACCCCAGAGCATTCTCATTGGACACCAGGGCTGCATAGCTTAAGGGAGTGCTGTCGGGAAGCAGGAAGCAAACAGCAGACAACAGTAGTAGATAGTAAATAGCGATAATTTTACAATTAAGCGTCCAATTTTCGGCATTAAATCTATACACTAAAAGCTTACGAACATTTTAGTTAATAGCTTACTGAGTTCGGTGTAAGTGCTCTGCTTACGCATTTTTTAATAAGCCAGTATGAACGGAGCAATGCTCCAATTTTGATGAACATTTGTAAAATCGCCAGTATTTACTGTCTGCTGCCTGCTGTTTGCTGTCTGCTTCCCAAAAGCACTCTCTTAATCTGAGAGGCCCAGCTCCCGCCAAACTTAGAGGATCTTCTAGGAGTCTAAACAGTCTATGCCCCACTGTTACGCAAGCGAAGGGCGAATGGACACGGAAAAAAAATAGTTAGTTCCCCAACCAAAATGTTAGTTGATTTCCGGATAGGTACTGTAACAGGTTTTAGCTCCAGAAATCAACATTTAGTAGAGAGAAAGACGTTGTTGTTGCGATAAAGAACGCGTTCCTTCCGTGGCCAAAGCCAGATTTCGTTCTTTCAGCAACAGCCTCTTTTTTTCTGTGGCAGCAACAACGAAGATAAGTACTCACGATCTCGGAAGGCCTTGTTCTTGCATAACATGCTGAACGTGGCTTTGGCTCCAGCCACAGTGTTCTCCACCCACTTCTGCTTGTCTTTCTCCAGGCAGTTGCGAGTGAAGTTGTCCACGCAGGTCATGCCCGTGGTGAATGCACTGCAAACAAGCAAAATAACGCACAACATGTCACAAGGAAAAATATCTCAGCTTTTATTTTTATTTTTTGAAATTGGATTTGCAATTGGTTTATTATTGTATGCTCCCCGTTCCACGCGTAATAATGCAGTGATTTCCACCGCCGTTCTCCGCGTGGCTATGCGAAGCGCACCGCTCGGCACGGGACGGCACGGCCACCCTCGACAAGAAATGTCTCATTTTTCTTCGCCCGCCTCGCGTGCTTGTGAAACCCTACCCTTGTCTGGTGGGACGGGCCGAACGGTCCCTTATCATTTCGGTGCGGCCGAGGCAAAGGATCCTCCTCAAAGTAAAAATAAAATGTAAATAATAGCGCGTTCCGAGGGCCAGCCTGGTACCTCATACTACTACGTATACACTGGTTACACTGATAAACCAAGTGTTCAACTGCTCAACACTTGTAAGTGTTCAATTTAGTTGTAGTACACTTGCAAGTGTTCAACTCGGTATTTGTGCACTTGTAAGTGTGCAACTCCTCTGATGAACACTTCCCTCACAGTAAGCGCCCGATCTGGTGAAGTGTACAACAGGAGAGTTGAACACTTACAAGAGCACAAATACCGAGTTTAACACTTGCAAGTGTACTACTACTGAATTGCGAACACTTGCAAGTATTGAACTTGTGGTTGCACACTTGCAAGTGTTGAGCAGTTGTACACTTGGTTTATCAGTGTATGTGACTTCCTTATGGCGATTGACTGGATTTAGTATTCTGAGTTGAAAGTCAAAATCCACTTGAATGTGATCAATTTCACAGGACCTCTAAACGTCAGATGCGGTTAGATGTATTTTTCGTAATACATTAAGGGGAGATGTAATTGGATTGTGATATCAGGTTGGGGAGCAGAGAGCGTATACACGGATTACAGTTAGTACTAAGGCATCTCTCGCGACGCGTTCCTCCGGTAAAACGTTCGAGTAAGTCCATGAGGTCGTTTGAAACAAATTATTATTATTGTGTGACCCGACGGGAACGGGGGCCGGAGGAGGCGCCAGCGGGGGCGACATGGATGCTTGTCCTTGACGGACGGCCCTTAATCCGCAAGGACCTGGCCGCCTGCTGCGCGGCTGCGCGTCCTGCGGAAGGACCTACGGTGATAGAGGCGAGGGAAGGGATGGCCCGGGCGGCAGCGAAATCGGTCAGGCGGTCAGCTAGCGGCCACCTGCCACTGTCTATCGCCCGAGCTGACAACTCTCTCCGGCCGGCCGTCCCCAGGGAGTTTTATCGCCGAGGGGGCGGCGGAAGAGAGAAGGACACGGGAAACCTTTACTCTTGTTCCTAATTGCAAAAGATATTTTAGGCCTCGCTGGCTTACAGACTGCATCTCAATGCATGATGTAGGTACAATGTGCACACCATGCATGCTGTTGGGTTTTCAGAGCGCCGGTCGCAAGTGCAAAGGAAATGGTATTATCTCAAATAATGGATTTTATCGACTGGCTTTTCTACAGGTGAGAGTGATTATGAACAATAAAAGGAGGTATGAATGATTGAATTACTGGGCGCATGACAATGGCTAATGTAAGCCTGGATGGTTGGGAAGGGCATTAATGCACACACGCACACACAATGGAGCGATAGAAACACAGAAACGTGTCTTTGTTTTCCTTTTGCGCTGCGTATCGCGGCGTGTCGTTTTGTCACTCAGGTAGCGCAGTCTTTACAGCCTGGGCTCGGTAATGCGTGCGCGCTTTACGAGAGGAACGGAGAGCTTTGCATGCTTAACGGCGCACCGGGCCGGCAAGGGCCGCGGCAGTAGCGAGGCGCGCGTCAGCAAAACTGGACGAGCACTTCACGAGGAGATTCAAAACGCATATTACTTCGATACTTACAAGGGAACCTTTTCAGGTGTAAATCTCCGATTTCGTTGAAACTTAGAAAATTTGAAGGTTATTTATGTAGAAATCGGATGGCACTTGAAATTTTTCCTAAACCTGACATTTTGTTTTCCCCTATATAAGGTAGGAGTAAGGTGTTAGAAAAAAAATATTTTTTGAAAAATGTGAAGCAGTGTTCTAAGGGGTAATTCGTCAAAGTAGTGCCCTATGGGCGAAAATTTTGTCCGTTTTGCTCTATTTTGCACCGTTAAAGCGGTAGAGGGATATTTGAAGCAAAAAACAGTGTCAGGCTTAAGTAAACCCCTAGTAAATGTTAAGTTTAGGAAAAATTTCAAGTGCCATCCGACTTCTAATACAATAACCTTTAAATTTTCCGAGTACCAACGAAATCGGAGATTTACACCTGAAAAGGTTCCCTTGTTAGTTATTTTTGTTCGTTCTCTTGTTTTCAGCGTCGAAAATACACTATCCATTTGCAGCAATTACTCGACACTCGACGTCGTCGGAACGGGAGAAATGAGGCTTGCCGACTGTTGTATTCCCACGGCGGGGGCGACCCCAGGGCGAAAACGATGAAAAGAAAAACAACGTCACTCGTTGCAGAGTATGAATAGAGGAGTTTTTCCGTTGAAAAACGGCGGGGAGAAGTAAGTCTCCTCGCGGCGTCCCCCCGGAGACATCGCAAGGCCAGAGCTGGCCAGTCTTAAAGTGGTAGCGAACTGCTTTGTTTGCTGTAAAGCTGGGGGACTTACGGCGCGGCGCAGCTAAGCGCGGCGCTTTCCCTTGCCGCCCGAGCGGAAGATGCGGTGTGTTCGGAGAGAGTACGAGACGCAGATGGAGACAGATGGGAGAGAGAGAGAGGGAGAGAGAGGGAGAGAGAGAGAGAGAGAGAGAGAGAGAGAGGCCTGTGATTACAGCCCCTCCCCCGTCTCAGCATTCCATTCCAGATCCCTAGCTTGTGGGCGCT